AATAATGATATTATAATAAAAATATTATAATAAAATAATTAAATATTATAATAAAATAATAATAATAATAATAATATGATATTATATAAATTTTCAAATAATAGAAGTCTTCTATAAGCGAACGCATTAAACAAAAACAATCGTGGAGATGGAGACTGCAGGTTCGAAACAAATGTCGTCGTCTTGAGATTAAAATAGTCTCGAGTGCAAAAGGTTCAAAGAATTTAAAATCTCTTGGAACAATTGTAGGATTAATATCTTCTGCTTCTTCCAATGAAAGCAGAGAGTTTTAATTTCGCACGAAGTTTCGCAGCAGCCCAGAAACGATTACAGAGATTCTGATCACCGTAGCTCCAAGATACATCGTGAAGCAAAAGATTAGCTATTAACTGTTATGATTAACGATTAATTGTTAGAACCGCTAACAATCGTAATGTCCTGATTAATCATCGTGTCGCAATTTACTAATTGCGAATTTACTAATTTACTAATTTACTGATTTACTGATTTACTAATTTACTGATTTACTAATTTACTAATTTACTGATTTACTGATTTACTGATTTACTGATTTACTGATTTACTGATTTACTAATTTACTAATTTACTAATTGACTAATTCACTAATTCACTAATTCACTAATTTACTAATTTACTAATTTACTAATTTACTAATTTACTAATTTACTAATTTACTAATCTACTAATCTACTAATTTACTAATTTACTAATTCACTAATTCACTAATTCACTAATTCACTAATTCACTAATTTACTAATTCACTAATTCACTAATTTACTAATTTACTAATTCACTAATTCACTAATTCACTAATTTACTAATTTACTAAACGCGAACGAGATGGTAGAAAAATCGAAAACTGGGAACGTACTAAAATTACGCTTCGATCCAGAATCGATATAAAATGATTGCTGTTATCGGGGTTAATCTGGCAGGAAGTCCCAAGGGATAATTACGCGTATAACCGACTATTGGAATAGACAGAAAATAATCGAACGTGCAACAATGGGCGGCGAAACTGTGGCAAAATTTGCGAACGAACCGTCGCCGCAGCGAATTCCGCCGGAGTCCGCGTTTTAAATGTCGTGCGCACGAGCGAGTTAATTACCATCACGTGTGCAGCAATAAGCGATAACAACTGCCTGATAAATGTTAATAATACGTTCGTTAAAAATTTGATTAATTCACGCTTACGTTGCCCCGGTGAATCGTTGAATGCGACACACATCCACGCCGACGCGACGCGAACCCGACGTGCCGAAGGCAAAATGACACATTACCGCTGCGCGTTTATCAACGCCATAGGACGCGCGAGATTTCGAAAATTTGTTGAAAATTTAATAGGAAATCAAGCCGCCGCGCGACGGTGTACGTTTAAAATTTAATTAACGCCATCACTGCCGCGTTGCCGTTCGCACGCGTACGCGACGGAATTCTTTTATCATTTTCTCCCGTTTTATTAATTAACTTCTACGCCGACATATTGAGAGCGAGCCGAATATGTTGCTGGAACAATCACTATTCGAAATTCATATTTTTATCGATCGTCCCCCGGAACAACGAAACTGTGTTACACGAATTTCACACGTGTGCACCGTTGTAATCTCTCTGCTCTTTGTTTATTTATCAATTAAACCGGCTCTGATTATCCTTTAGATTACAGAATATAATAGAAGCAGTGATTTAGTTAGGGAACACGTAGTGTAAATTGAGATACGAGCATCACCGAGAAGAGAATTAATGTGGTTCCTATAAAACTATACGTTTCTAATCGTTATGTTCGTATGATTGTATTTACGATTTGTGAATATGATCAAAATGGTGGAAGATAAATTGACGATCCCGATGAAAATTGACTTGTGACTCCGGATTGCCCAACGTTCCATTTCAATTCTTGACGAATACACGTTGGATAAAAAAATCAACGTCGATTCGAAACGAGTACAATAAATTCTCTCCAATTGTTCCTTAGCATGACGAAAGTGGACAATTTGGGAAGGCGAGATACGATTGTTCGAGCCTCGCTGCTCGTTCTTATAATTACAGCGATGTTTTCCTAATTCGCGCTCAGATTACACACAAAAATGGATAATTTAAGAAGAGGAGATGCGATTATTCGAGCTCCGCAGCTCGTTTTTACAGTCGCCGATTGTCGATACGCTAATTTCTTCCTAATTCGCACTCAATTGCGCACGAAAATGGTCACAATTTGGGGAGAGGTGGTGCGATTATTCGCATTCGATTCGAAGTTCGATTATCATTTATAGTTACCGATTGTCAACAACTATAAAAACGAGACGCGAGGCTCGAATAATCGTATCTCCTCTTCTCAAATTATCCATTTTTGTGCGTAATTTGACCGCGAATTGGGAAAAAATCAACGTCGATTCGAAACGAGTACAGTAAATTCTCTCCAATTGTTCCTTAGCTTGACGAAAATGGACAATTTGGGAAGGGGAGATACGATTGTTCAAGCCTCGCGGTTCGTTCTTATAGTTACAGCGATGTTTTCCTAATTCGCGCTCAGATTGCGCACAAAAGTGGATAATTTAGGAAGAGGAGATATGATTATTCGAACCTTGCATCTCGTATTTAGAGTTATTGACTATAAATAATAATAATCGGTAACTATAAATAATAATAACCGAATTTTGAATCGACCATTTTCATGCGCATTTTGAGTGCGAATTAGGGAGAAATTACTGTATCGACAATCGGCGACTATGAAAACGAGCTAAGGAGCTGCAATAATCGTTTCTCCTCTTCCCAGATTGACAATATTTGTGCGCAATCCGAGCGCGAATTATCGAGGAATTACTATAACTATATGAACGGCGACTATATAAAACGAGCCGTGAAGTTCGAATAATCGCATCCTCTCTCCCCAAATTGTCCATTTTTGTGCGCAATCTGAGCGCGAATGAGGAAAAAATCACTGTAACTATAAGAACGAGCAGCGAGACTCGAACAATCGTATCTCTCCTTCCAAAATTGTCCATTTTCGTCAAGCTAAGGAACAATTAGAGAGAATTTACTCTGTACTCGTTTCGAATCGACGTAGATTTTTTCCTAATTCGCGCTCAGATTGCGCACAAAAATGGATAATTTGGGAAGAGGAAATACGATTATTCGAGCCTCGCGTCTCCTTTTTATAGATGTTGACAATCGGTAACTATAAATAATAATCGAATTTCGAATCGAATGCGAATAATCGCACCTCCTCTCCCCAAATTGCGACCATTTTCGTGCGCAATTCGAGTGCGAATTAGGGAGAAATTACTGTATCGACAATCAGCGACTATAAAAACGAGCTGCGTTTCTCCTCTTCCCAAATTGTCTTGACTGCAAATTAGAGAGAAATTACGGCAACTATAAGAACGGCGACTATATAAAACGAGCCGTGAAGTTCGAATAATCGCATCCCCTCTCCCCAAATTTTCCATTTTTACAAGCTGAGCAATAATCGAAGAGAATCCAACAGAAAAATATAACAGAAAAGGAAATTGATCCATAAGAATTAGACGGAACCTATCCATCCCGATTCTCGGATCATAAACAATAGCATCTCGCAAGGATTAGGCGCGCGCCGTCGATTTAATTAAGCAATCGCGGGAATAAATATCGCCAGTATCGTCAGATACAGGATACGGATCGCGAAGACGAGGCCGCTATCGATATCAGGGATCGTCGATCACGGCCGATGATCCATCGAATCATGTTCCCGGCGATCGTGCCAGGAATAGGACTCGACGGGGACGTAAAAAGTTAGAGGTCGGCACCGAGAAGAACTGCGCCGGCAGGGCGAGCTGCGCCACCACGCCGGGTAGAAAGGCGAAAAGGTTACAGCCTCGTAAATCGGACGGATAACGGCGGTAGCGAGAGGACAAATCTTCATTGTGATTTGAGCTCCGTAACCGGCGCTAATAAATTAGCGATCCGCGGGCGCTGAAAGGCGGCAATTACCACCGCGCCGTCGACCGATCGGTTTTAACGACGCGCACGTCGACGTCGACGGCGGCGGCGGCCCGTTCGGTGTTTTCCGAGAAACGACTAATTCCGGCGGGCTCGCGCGCTTTTACGCGCGTGATTGATAAACAGTCGGCGACAGGACGATAAAAGGGCGAACAGGAACGGCCACCGGGCGACTTTCGCGAACGGTAATAAAGCGACGGCATCGCGGCGGTTTTGTTTCGGCGATGTGAGCGACGTGATCCGGAAAGTAGCACGATTTATTAACGACACATTCATCGATGCGCCTGTTTTTCACGCGTGCCGCTCCGGCTGATGAATCGGTCGGCGAAAATGAACCGTCATTTTCTTTCATTGCGGCGCGCGGAATCGCGCGGATAAATAATGTACATATTAATAATGCGTGCATACGTACAGCGAGTCCCAAAATTATGGTATTTCCGGAAAATGAGGTGTTCCTGAAGCGATTTGAACGAATAATACATGTATCGTTCAAATAAATCGAATCGCTACGTTTAAGAAGCGCCACGGTCTCTTTCACGGCTACGTTGATTAATACTGCTTCGTCAATAATAAGTTCCAACGCGACGCGAATCATTTGTATTCATTGTTTACCGGCCTTTGGATTCAATGTTTAACATTCTGATTAATGGCAACGTGCGCTGTATTGTACGAATAACGAATTTATTAATAATTTATTATAATGCAAGCTTTACTGGAATGAATAAACGAATTTATTCGATCGTTTCTTACGAATTATTGTAATTTCAACAACTTCGAAGTAAGAAATCGATTTTATTTTATTTCGATTTGGAAGACGCGAATAACGTTCATATTTAGTAGATCATGTTTCAAATCTTTATAACGAGGCCGGCAAAATGTCATAATGCAAGAGGTTCGTCGCTTTTAGGTAGGTATAGCATTAATTATTAAAAATGTGGCGCATGATTCGCTGCTCGATGTTTCCAGTTCAGAGAAGAAGAATAAAAATGATTTGAAATCAACTCACTGTTTCTCGATGTCTCGGCTGCAGTCCCGCAAGGTCTCTAACATTCCATCTGCAACAACAGACATTTTCGTTAATAATAATAATAATAACAATAATAACAATAATAACAATAATAATAATAATAACAGTAATAACAGTAATAACAGTAATAACAATAATAATAACAATAACAATAATAATAATAACAATAATAAATGGCGCAACTACAAAATGAAGATACAGAATGAAAACCGGAAGAATAGAGTTGGAGTCGTTGCAAATAAGATATATTAAGTGATGCCTAGGTTTGGATAAATGAACATCCAGTGTACATTGTTTTGCTTATGTCGTTGATCGTCAACACAACTATGAAATCATCCATTTTTGTTTACAAGCTGAGAGTCAATTGGGGAGAATTTACTGTATTCCCCTTGCCCCTCTGTTGAAACGACTGACTTCTGAGCACCGAACAGTAGGTGTTACAGTAATTTCTCCCGGAAATGCCAAATTTCGGGTTGCTGTGAATTTCCCTGTGCTAGTCCTGCGCCTATATAATTTATTGCTACTTCGATCGGAGTCAAATAAGAAAAACTGCGGAGCTATAAGGTACGTGACCGTTGAATCGTGGCATGTGGCCTCCGAATTGCCTTCGAATCGTGTCAAATGGTCTTCGAATTGCCTTCGAATCGTGTCGCGTGACCTCCGAATTGCTTTCGAATCGCATCATGTGGCCTCCAAATTGCCTTCGAATCGAGTCAATGGTCCCTAAATTGCCTTCGAATCGCGTCAAATGGCCTCCGAATTGCCTTCGAATCGTGTCAATGGTCCCTAAATTGCCTTCGAATCGCGTCAAATGGCCTCCGAATTGCCTTCGAATCGTGGCAAAAAATTAGAAATAAACAACTCAAGTCATCGTTTTTATTCAAGCATTGCTATATATTCATATTAACGTGCACCGACAAGCAGACCACTACTTTTTTCGCCGACTGCCTCGAGAGTTCCTACAAAAACGAACCACGAGGCCCGAAGAATCGCGACTCGGTATTCTCAGATCTGCCAGTTTTAATTCCAACCTCCGAACATTTCTGGGAGAAATGACTGCACTCAGAGTTTTCACCGCAATAAATTCAACATTTTCAAGATCATCTCCGATTCTCCCCGCGTAAAGCGTACGCTTGCTCGCCGCATCGCGTTACCTCGCCGATGAGAAACAGAGGGGGCGGGGCCCGAGCAGGTGTGTGGAGGCCATAATTACAAAGAAGCACCGTGACAGGGGAAATAAACGAAACGGTCGAATGGTAAGTGGCTCGGAGCGACCTCCCCGACTTAGACGGCATATTCGGATGCGTCCGACCGAATGATGCGGGATCGCGTCATCCTGCGGCCCGTCGACAGATGCGCCGTAAATAACAGGTGTAATTATACTCGCCGCGAAGCGCTCGCCCGTTGGAGAAACGTGAAATATTTAAACCGTGGTCGCGTTCGAAAATCTCCGGCGCGCATTAGTGTATATATACATATACAGGGTGTCCCAAAAATGTCTCGCAATACAGAAATGTGGGGTAGCTGAGGTCATTCTAAGTAACTTTTTCCTTTGCGAAAATGCAACCTGCGGCTCACCTGTACACAGGGTGTCCCAAAAATGTCTCGCAATCCGAAAGTGGCGGGTTCCTCGGGTCATTCGAAGCAACTTTTTCCTTTACAAAAATTTTCTCCGAGGCACCGTTAACGAGTTATTAACGAAAAACAGTGACCAATGAGAGGCGAGCCAACGGCGCCAGCGGTCGAGGCGGCCGAGCCGACGGCGCCAGCGGTCGAGCGGTCGAGCGGTCGAATCCCAGCTCAACCGGCGCGAGGCGGCCGAGCCAACGGCGCCAGCGGTCGAGCGTCAGCCGTACTCGATTCTTATTGGTCACTGTTTTTCGTTAATAACTCGTTAACGGTGCCTCGGAGAAAATTTTTGTAAAGGAAAAAGTTGCTTCAAATGACCCGAAGAACCCGTCACTTTCGTATTGCGAGACATTTTTGGGACACCCTGTATATACGTGTATGTATGTATGTACACGAATGTACGCGTGCATTCGCATAGACGTCGCGGGAACACCGGACGCTTGTGCGAATTAACGATCGCTGAATTTTACGTCCGGTTGATTATTGTTAGTATATCACTGCCGGCGTGCGCGTAATTCCCGACGCAAAAACAACCGGTGCCGCGGGTTTACTGCGTCGTTTGGGATCGGCTGCCGACGACACCGGACACGCGGATTCTTCGTAAACGCGGCTTTACGCGATGCTAACGACGCGACGCGCGGGACCGTCCTTCCGTACGCGACACGGCGAGGCCGCGCGGCCGCGGTCACCGGCCACGCAAAATGATCGCGCAGGGATTAGTATCTTCCACGTTTTTATCACTGGGGACGCCGAGCCCTCGGACCCGGCGACCCGTATTTCACCGTAATTTTATGCTGAGTTATACTCCCCACTCCCCGTAAAAATAAAGACCATAAGTTGGTCCATTGAAAAAAACGCAAATTGTAAGTCCCGCGAGGTGTTCAGGATGGAAATTTATGTATCGTCCGCTCTTATAGTTACGGTGGGCTCTTCAATTTCTTCGCGAGTTCTGAAATTATGGACACCCGGCAGTACTTAAACGACCCACGGTTTAAGCAATAATTGAAATACCGAGTTATTTACGTTGGAATCGCCGTGCTAAGTTATTTCGGTAGAAATTGAAATACTAAGTTAATTGAATCAAGATTTATATGGTAAGTTATTCGAATTGAAATGTAAATACTGAGTTTTGTAAATCAAAATTTAAATGTCACGTTATATAAATCAAAATTTATATGTCAAGTTACATAAATCAAAATTTAAATATAAAGTTGTATAAATCGAAACTTCAATACTAAGTTATTTGAATTAAAATTTAGATACTAAGTTATGTAAATCAAAATTTAAATATCAAGTTATATAAAGCAAAACGTCAATACTAAGTTATTTCAATTAAAATTTAAATACTAAGTTATGTGAATCACACACAAAACTTCAATATCAAGTTATATAAATCAAAACTAAATGCTAAATTATTTAAATCATAATTTAAATTCAAACTTTAATAAATAAAAATTTAAATGCCAAGTTATATAAATAAAAATTTAAATAATGAGTCATTGTTTTACTTGGATGCTGAAGTAAGAAGCAAGAATAATTGATTGATATCGTTTGAGCAAATATATAATTCCAATTATTATTTGTTAGCTATTATTTATTGTTTAAATAACCTTGAACGGCCGCATTGAAAGGCGTAATCTCTGTTAATCAACAGACTAAAATAAAGTTTGATTTCCATTCGAAACAGATGTTCGACGCTCATCTTTGGCAACTTTCCTTCAAAATCTTCGAAAGAAATCTAAATACGATACCGGAGGGCAAAAGGTTATTTACACACCTACGTTCTAGTCATTAGTGGCTATTTTTACGACATTATTGTATAAGAGTGCTTATCGTAAATGATGGATCGCTTCGACTCGGTTAATAATGAATTAATCGAGGGCTAACAAGGGTTCGTAAACGTGTGGATGCGACACGAAGGGACAGGAAGGCGTGGTTAGGAGCTATAACGAAAGAATGAAGGGGTCTTCCGTGCTCCGCCGAGTTAATTAGATTGCCGGAGTTCACGCAAATTCACAATTTTCGAGGATAATTTACCGAACATAGTATCGAGCCTCCGTTTCGAAGAAAATCTCTCCGCCTTTACTTCTGCGAGTTCCGAGTACAACAACGCAAAGTACGAAAACGCAAGTACGAAACAGATTAATTTTCGATACATTCGAAAACAATTGGTTTGTTTCGGATGTCTGTTATAATACCGAAACAAAAAACATAACAAAATATTACGTCATTTATAACATACAAGTCGAAGTTAAAGATACGTTCGATAAGTGGCAGCACTAAGTGAACTTCGGTCACGAAACGTTTCACGAAACAATTGATCATTATTATGGTATTTTAAGAACTTCCGTCTTTTACACGTCTAATTTTATCAAATGAATGGTGTATCGAACTTAAATATAAAATAACTTCTTCGCGAGTTCTGAAATTACGAACGCTGCTCGTCGATGGCGGTATTAGAATAAAGCGCTGTTCAAATAACAATTGGAATACTAAGTTATTTACGTTAAAATTTCAATGCTGAGCTATTTAAGTAAAAATTAAAATGTTAAGTTGTTTGAGTAAAAATTTAAATGCTAAGCTATTAAGTAAAGATTTAAATACCAAGTTATTTAAGTAAAAATAAAAATGCGAAATCGTTTGAATAAAAATTTAAATACAAAGTTATTTAAGTAAAGATTTAAATACCAAGTTATTTAAGTAAAAATTAAAATGCTAAGTCGTTTGAGTAAAAATTTAAATACAAAGTTATTTAAGTAAAGATTTAAATACCAAGTTATTTAAGTAAAAATAAAAATGCGAAATCGTTTGAATAAAAATTTAAATACCAAGTTATTTAAGTAAAAATTTAAATACCAAGTTATTTAAGTAAAAATTAAAATGCTAAGTCGCTTGAGTAAAAATTGAAATACCAAGTTATTTAAGTAAAAATTTAAGTACCAAGTTAATAAAATAAAAATTTAAATACCGAGTTATGTATATAAAAGAATTTGAATACCAAGTTATATATATAAACAAATTTGAATACCAAGCTACGTAAATAAAAAAAACGTAATACGTCTTATTCGATAAATATAAAATTAACTGTTCCCGAAAATGAACTAAATTCCCAGTAATTTGCTGGCGCACAGTAACCGGCTCCACTATCCCACGCTCATCAGTATTTCTGCGTCTCGCGCGGAACGGCATCCGAAACCGCGTACAGAGTCAGAAAACAATTCTCTTCGGGGAGATCCGCATCGAGAATCGTCGGGGAACTGCTTCGGGGTAGCACAGAGGTCGGAGGAAGAAAATGTCGAGGGGGAGCCGAGAGACCGGGTAAAGTTTCCCATCGCGTGGGTGGTTCCAAAAACGTCGTATATCCCCGATTCGTATTCACGGCGTGCACGAGAAAAGACG